TGGTATTCCTGTCCTCTGGTCTTCAAATATCTAGAAATATTTTGTGCCGCCGTCCTGAATAATGGATGTCGAGATCAATCAGAGCGCTGCTGTCGGAATACCCATGTGATCAATATTGCTGCAAGGTCCCTTCGTACCGTTATAGGTTGGATCCGTGTCGAAAACTACAATGGCTCTGAGCTATGGATAAGGTGCTGGCCCTGCAACTTGTTCGGGCTATTATGCCACTTTCGGTTTCCAGCTGTTTGCTTGTCTTGTCGACGGCGTTACTCGTGGTACGATTTGCGATCCCGCTGGAAGCCATGCAAGGTCAAAGCTGGCGGTTGACCCAGATAACCATCGTAGTTTTACTTGCTTGCCTGCCACTGATCTCTAACACCCCGACTGGGTTTCTTCCCCAATCAAAGCTTGCCTCTGTAGGGGTCCCAGCCGATTCATATGGTTAGGACAACTTTGCCACTGATTTCCGCGGCCCGCCCAGTTGCCTTATAGCCCTATAGCCTTATAGCCCTATAGCCTTACAGCTCTATAGCCCCATCGTCCAAATGTCCGATAGCCCTATAGCCCAATAGCCTTGTTCAGCCCTTTAGCCCGATAGCCTTATAGCCTTACAGCCCTTTTTGGCCTATAGCCCTATAGCCCTATAGCCCCAGAGCCCGGTAGCCCCATAGCCCTATAGCCCTATAGCCCTATAGCCCTATGGCCCAATAGCCCAATAGCCCTGTAGCTCTATAGCCCTATAGCCCTATAGCCTTATAGCCTTATAGCCCTATGACCCTATAGCCCTATAATTCTATATGTATGTATATATATATATATATCCCTATAGCCCTATAGCCTTATGGTCCAATAGCCCCATAGCCCTATTTAGAACGAGTGTGCGCGGCGCTAACGCGACAGCCACATTTTGAAAACCACCCGCCCTCCATGAATGAAACTGTTGCCAATCTCAAGCTTCAGAATCGCAAACGGTGAGGAAGTCTCAGGCGAAACGCCCGGTCCGCTCTAAAAACTGGCCTCGGGGTGCGACAGGAAGAAATTCCCTAATCAGAGCTCGCCTCTGTAGGGGTCCAAACGGATTTATGTGCTTAGAAGAAGTTTGCCACCGTTTTCCGCGGCCCGCCAGGGTGCCCGGGTGCCCGGGTGCCTATAGCCGTATAGCCCTATAGCCCAATGACCCTATTGCCCCATAGCCCAATAGCCCTACACCCCAATAGCCAAATTGCCCTATAGCCCTATAACCTTATAGCCCTATAGGTCTGTAGCCCTATAGCCCTTTAGCCCCATAGCCCTATAGCTCTACAGCCCTGTAGACCTATAGCCCTATAGCCCTATCGCCCCATAGCCACATAGCCCCATATCCCTATAGCCCTAGAGCCCAATCGCCCAAATTATAGCCCCATAATCTTATAGCCGGAGAGTCCTACAGCCCTATAGCCCGATAGCCCTATAGCTCTATGTGCCTATAGCCCTATAGCCCTATAGCGCTATGGTCCTATAGCCCTATGGCCCCATAGCCCTATAGCCCTATTAGCCTCAGAGCCCCATAAACCCACAGCCCTATAGCCCTATAGCCCTATAGCCCTATGGCCCTATAGCCCTGTAGCCCTGTAGCCCTGTAGACCTATAGCCCATATAGCCCGATAGCCCCATAGCCCTCTAGCCCTAAAAGGGTTATGATTGCGGCTTTTCTCTGGTATCAATTGGTTATGTGTGGGTGGTGCTGCACATGTGCTGGCGCGAAATACACCTTCAAGCCGGAGACTACTGTTCTCGATGTGATGCGAATGCCTTCTGCGCTTCCCTGGATGCTGGTGGGTGGCGCGCAGGTGGTTCTGAGGACCCGCCTTGGGATCGAGTGGGGGACTAGTACCGCTGTACCGCATGCCTTCGTCACGAGTTTTCCGTTCCTACCTCCAGAGTTCAGCGCCCGATTGGTGTGCAAGCTAATCGGCGCAACATACTCTTGTGCCCCATCTCTGTTATTCGCTTTGAAGTATAGTGTCCCAATATTTCAGCTCTTGCCTGGTGTCCTCCAGCCGTTCCTTAGTCGAAACCGCTAGCGGGTTGTGTACTACTACCCTCATTCCAAAGACCAGCAAGAGGAGGACGCTTATCTAACAGCTCGAAATACCTGCCTCCCCCACCGCCCTTGGCTGATGGTGAGTTGGTCCGGAGTTGCGGAGGGCGGAAACGCGTGCCCTCCTGGCGGGCTGGTATGTCTCGAACCTTCCCGCGGCAACCTTGAACAGGGAGGGGAGAGGATGAGGAGGAGGAGGAGGAGGAGGAGGAGGAGGAGGAGGAGGAGGAGGAGGAGGAGGAGGAGGGGTGGTCGAAATGGGGAGACGAGGAGGGGAAGGAATGATAGGAGGAGAAGCAGGACAAAGATGAGAAAAGGGAGAATGAGGCTGATGAGCAGGAGGAGAAAGATGAGGAAAGGACTTCAAGAAGGGGAATGCAGGAAGAGCGAGGTGTAATCAGGTTGAGAGGGGAGGTGGGGAATATGAGGTGGAGATGAGAGAGGAAGAGGATGAAGGGAACATGGTGCCGGGAGGCGCAGGCGAACAACACCTCTGAGGGTGCCCAACAGGGAGTGCTCCGCACGGCATGTCCTAGGACAAACGTGAGACCTGTAGAAGTCGGCGGAGGGTGAGGAGGCGCGCCTTGAGCTAAAATGTTTAGTATCAGCCCACGTGTCTGTCCAGGGAGTCTGTCAAGAACTATGCAGGAGGTGGTCACCGCTGCCCCAAACCCACGCTTGGCCACAAGGTAGCCTGATGTGGCCTCTCGTTCGCCCCGCTGCGTGGGATATCTCACGATGGTACCTCAAGCCCGCAGGAGGCGCCAGGAAGCCACAGGAAGGTTCAGGATGCCCCAAGAACACAAAGAGAATCTTCGGAACGCCCCGGAACAACCAGGAAGCCCCAGGAGGCCCCAGGAGGTCCTAGGTCCCAAAGGGTCCCAGGAGTACACCCTGCGAAATGCTTAAGAAATCATGGGATAAGAAATTCATAGTCTCAGAACTTGAATAAAAACCAAACATTTCTATCAACATCGTGGGATTTACAGACGGCCCAAGGAGGATTCATCCGGCGACAGAAGCCCCAGGAAGAGGCAGGCGGCCCCAGGAGGAGGAGCACCAGGAGGAGAAGGAGAAGGCCTGAGGAGGAGGAGAAGGCATTACGATGATGCTGATCCTGATGTTGATGATGCTGATGATGGTGATGATGATGGCGATGATGATGAGGAGGAAGAGAAGGCGGGAAGGCAGGGAAAGGAGGAGGAGGCAGCAGGAGGATACAGGGGGGAGGCAGGAGAAGGCAGGAGGAGGAGGAGGAGGGGTGAGGCTGGAAGAGGAGGAGGAAGTGGAATAATGAGGCAGGACGAGGCAGCATGCGGGAGAAGATGGCACGGGGAGGCGGAGGCAGGAGGCAGCAGGAGGAGAGAGGTGGTGAGGCAGGAGAGGAAGCACGCAGCATGCAGGAGAAGCAGGAGGCGGCAGGAGGAGAAGGAGGAGGCAGGAGGAGGGAGCACGAGGGACATTCTCAGCCACGGTCTCGTGCGGGGTCCGACCGTCGAGTCCAGGGATTCCACGAGCCCTCTGGGCGTAGGTGGTCCAACGATGGTTCTCTCTCTCTCCCCCTCCCCTCCCCTTCCCCTCCCCTCGGGGAGGGGAGGGGTACCCTCCCCTCGGGGAGAGAGAGAACCATCCCCTCCCCTCGGGGAGGAGAGGGGATGGTTCTCTCTCTCCTCTTCCCAGGCCCTCATCCCCTCGGGGAGGGATGCCCTCCCCTCCCCTCCCCGAAGTGTTTTGGGGCGCTCCGCGAGGTGTCAGGGCTCCTTCATCGTTCGAGGATTTCCCCAAGAAGCCCACATAGCTAAAACCCTCACAACACATCAATGATGTTCACCGTCTCGCCCTTCTGCTTCCGATACGCATTTGAGGCCGCAAGATGGCCCAGACATGGCCCAAGAGGGCCTCGAGACCCTCCCGAAGGATCCCCAAGAGGGCCCTCAGGCAGCCCCAAAAAGGACACCAACAAGGCCTCAAGCATACCCCAAGATGGCTGCCAGAGTCCATGTCCTCGTCCTCGTTCTCCTCCTCCTCCTCCTCCTCCTCCTTCTCCTCATCGTCCTCCTCCTTTTCCACCTTCTTGCCCTCCCTCCTTCTCTTTCTCTTTCTCTTTCTCTTTCTCTCTCTCTCTCTCTCCCTCTATATATATATATATGGATTCGTTATGGTCCTCCTCTTCCTTATTGTCCTGCAGGCCTCCTGCTCGTCCTCCTCCTCGTCCCCGTCGCCCTCGTGCTCCTCCTCGCCCTCCGTCCTCCTCGTTCCCGTGCTCGTTCTCCCGGTCCTTTTTGCTCCTGCTCCTCCCCCTCCTCCTCTTCCTCCGCCTCCTCGCACGTGGCCGCAGGCGGACACGTCCTCGGTCACCCTCGCTCGCGGCCGCGGCGGGTGCGGGCTACCTGCGCCCTGCTAAGAGGAATGGCGGACCTCTTCCTCCGCCTCCTGCTCCTCCTCGTACCCGTCCGAGCAGATGCTCCACTGCGCGCTTCGACACTTCCCTGAAGAAGGCAGCTCGCTTGGGCATCGCGTCGGGATCTCTTCCGCCCGTTTTCCGTCAGCTCTCATCGGCAGCCTTTCTGAATGGGCGAGTGGGGATACTTTTGTTTGGTTCGCGGCCGGGAGCGAAGAGCGCACGCGGCGAGAGAAGTTGTCCGGGCCTACTAACACACCTAACTAGCTGCAGGGCGCAACCCAGGCCGGCCTGGCCAGCTCACAAGGCGGCCGCTGGGGCAGCGAGGCGAGGGCTGGCTGGCTGATGGGCACCCAACGAGTGGGGATACTTTTTTGGTTCGCGGCTCCAAGGCGGATGACAGGGAACGAGCACAACGTCCGGGGCGCGTGACGAGTGGGGATACGCGAAGCGTGTAGAATTCTGCCTCCCTCCGTTCAGGGGCTCCTCCACCCCCTGGCGAGCGGGCGAGGGGGGCTCCTGCTCATGCCGCGCAGCCGACCGGCGGGCGTGCTCGGCCACCTGCCACGCCTTCACGCCGTTGGCGGCCTGCGGCGCGGTGCCACCGATAGAGAGAGAGAGAGAGAGGAAGAGAGAGAGGCCCTCCTCCTGCCCTCCCCCCCTTCCTCCCTCCTCCTCCTCCTCCTCCTCCTCCTCCACCTCCTCCTCCTCCTCCTCCTCCTCCTCCACCTCTCCCCATTCCACGACGGCACCTGTGCCACTGGGACCCCTTCGCAGGAAGACAGGCGGGTAGCAGCCCGATCGTCACCCTTGTTTGCCCGCGGGGGGCCAAAGGGAGAGAAAATTGCTCTCGTCGCCAGCGGCCACCCATGGAGTGGGTGGTGGGTAGGTTGGGCGTCGGAGCACGGCTCCGGCGCCCCCTACCCCGAACACGGCGCGCGGAGCACGGTCTTCTCGCGTGCCCTGTTTCGCGCACCTTTCGCGCCACGGGGGCATGGCCCTGGACCGTTGGCGCCGCTCTGTCTTATGTGTGCTGTGCTGCTGGCTGTCTAGCAGGAGCGTGCAGAGGCAGTGCTTTCCGTCTGGCTTTGCCATTCGGTGCAGCCTGCATCTCCCTCAGATGCAGGTTGTCTGTCCTGGTTGTCAGGACCTGGAGGCGATGTCGTGGATGTCAAAAAAAACAACACATTCCACGACCCCCCTCCTGCTGGACTCCTCCTCCTCCTCCTCCTCCTCCTCCTCCTCCTCCTCCTCCGCCGTCTCCTCCTCATCATCCTGCCACGCCCTCGCCCCTCTGGCTTCCCGAGAAGCCGTCTGCGGCTACTGGCTACGGAGAAGACTGCAGGCGTCCTGAGCCCTCCGAAGGAGCCCACCCCACCCTCGAACCCAAAAGGGGGGGCGACTATTTCGCCATCTGGAGAAGATGGGGTCGGAGGATCGCGCCGCATCGCCGATGCATCGGCGAAGTCGGCGTGGATGAAAATCGAGCTCTACGTCGAGCCGCATCGCCTATGCATCGGCGATACGGCGCGATCCTCCGACCCCATCTGCTCGGACCCCATCTGGATAGACTCTTGCAGGGGGCCCACTCGCGTCTGCGCAGCCCGCCCACGCCGGGAGCCCAGCCCTGGCAGTTGGAGCGCAGCGCATCCCGTGCGTGCTGGCGCGTGCGGCCGCGTGCATCGCAGCGTGTACCACAACAAAACAGTACAGTGCTCTCCGGGCCAGCAGGCCAGCTGCAGAGATTCAGGCCCACGACTCGAGCTGTGAGCCCGGGTGCCCGCCTTCGGCTCAGACCGCACACCTGGGTGCCCCAGCCAGGCTGCTTTGGCTGGCCGCCTGCACCCAGGGCCCGGAGGCATGGCCCCCCTGCGGGCTGCATGCATGCCGCTGGAGCACCCGCCGCACTCGTCCTCCTGCTCCTCCGGCTCCTCATCCCTCCTCCTCATCCTCGTCCTGCTCCCTCCTCTGCCCTCCTCCCTCACCCGCCAGAATCCCCCGGCCACGGACAACTCACACGTTCTCCGGCGGTGACGGCGGAAGGAGAAGGAGGAGGAGGAGGAGGAGGAGAAGGAGGAGGAGGAGGAGGAAGAGGAGGAGGAGGAGGAGGAGGAGAAGGCGGCGGGGGAGGAGAAAGAGGAGGAGGAAAGGAGGAGGAGGAGAAGGAGGAGGAGCAGGAGGAGGAGGA